CCTTTTTGAAGTTTGACTTCTACTATTTAAATTTGAGAATGATAGGAAATTGTGAATACAATTTTTGAAAACATTTTTTCAGCCCTAACTTGCATTGGTGGCCGAAATTCTCAAAGGAAAAAAGAGAGGAAAATTTTTCACCCAAAAATTCCACATCGTGCATGGGTTGGTGTTTGTAAAAATTTGAGTGTTTTTAGAAACCTGTTTTGTCCCACGTGTGCCCACACACACGTCTACGTGGAACCAAGGAATTGACGTGAAAGACTTTGGTTTTCTAAACACAAAGCTTGGAGCAAGGATTGTTCGAGGTCAAAGAACTCAAGTTACCATCCGAGTCGGCTTCCAAGTATTTTTCTTGATTGAGTTCTTGATATATAAATTAATGTGATTAATTTATTCGTGCATAAATTAATATAATTTATAGAGTACCTCAAAAGTTTTATGAAAATTTTTGTTATACACGATCCGCCTCCCCCTATGCTTCCGCATCCGAATTCGATTCGGTTACCAACAGATAGACCCCAGGCAAATCGAGGAGGATCATAGGGCTATGACCGCGTTTGTGAACATGTGTATTCACACATTCTCCGGTCGTCGTCAGTCGTACCTATTAATGGAGTGGATCAACGTTATAGAGGTAGCCTTTGACGTTTGTCACATTCCTGAGCGGTTGAGGGTCCGATTGGCCGCCTCAAAGTTAGAAGGATACGCTCTTGCCTGGTGGCTTAGGAAAGGAGCTGAACACCAACCACCTTGTTGGGGAGAGTTCAAGCAGGAGATCAGAGCCGAGTATGGGCCAGTATTGTATGGTTTCAACGGTCAAAATTTCAGCCTATGGAATAAGCCTAACGATCGTAGGAAAAGATTTTAGCATATGGGATAACGTGCCTATGATCCGAAGACAACGACATACAAACTGCACCATACCCTCTAATAGACAATCAAACGAAGACGACGAGAATAATAATAATAATAATAATAGGAAAAAACAGAATAAAAAGTAAGCAAATGGCATCACCTTCAATTTTCTTGATATCTTCACAAGGCACAAAAAATATATATTTACCAAAATCTCACGCTATACTTGTTGTGGTGTAGAGTTGTCAAACGTGCCATGTCAGGTCGGCACAGCATGTCTGACCCCAAGTTTGTGGCGGGCCTAGGCTGTGCCTGGTACGGCCTTGCACAGTACAGGACCATGCCAGGGTCGGGCTTGAGGAGAAACGTTCAAGCCTGCGGCCCTAGTCCATAAGGGTCAAGGTCGGGCCTGGGCCCAGGCCCTTCACGGGCTGGCCCTGACCCGTGTAATTTTTTTTTGTAAAATTTAATAAAAAAAAGAAAATATATCATATGCCCCCAAAAGATGTTATTTTATTGAATTGAGATAATACAAATAGGTATACAAAAATGATTGCCTCGTTAAAAACGTTGCTAACTAAAACCCGTGAGGAGATCGGGACAAAACCTTAGCGTAGGAAAAAAGAGTGCAATATTCTAGGATAAGTAAATTACAAAACCTAAGTGCTTCCAGAAGATTATGTTATTTCTAAGTTAGAAAAATAGTTTTGCATTGAATCATCCGTGTATTGTTGTTTTCGTCTTCTAGCATTTTCCCAGTCTTTAATGCACATTAGCCCCTCCAAGATATCTGGATGCATTATGCTTCTCTTCTCATCAAGAATTCGGTTGCTTGCACTAAATGCTTGCTCTGATGCTACCACTAACATTGAAGTTATCAGAATGTCACGAGCTATTATGGTCAGTGTTGAAAAACGATCGGTCTTGCTCTTCTACCACTATAAGATGTCCAGTTTGTCATCATCAATTACAAAATTTTCTTCAAAATAATTTACTAGTTCGTTAGACGCTTGTGTTGATGACAATCCTGCCATTTTCTCTTTCTTCTTCAAGAAACTCTACGATAAGCCTTTAGGCCCCGAACTGCTACTTGACGTCAACGTTCCCTATTCTTTTTTACCTATGTTGTATTTTGCTTTATACAAACCAAATAACTTTTTTAACATTTTCCTAGCGTCATTAATAGTTAGTTGCATATCAATACCTAAATTTTCTGCTGTAGCAGTCATCAAAGATTCAGTCCCATCTACTCCGTACCTAGGATCTAAACTGGTTGCTAATGCATATAACATAGGAAAACCTAACTAATAACTTTTAAATTTAGTTTCCATTAGCTTACCTATGTTTCTAAAAAGTTTAATATCCCTATACTAAGAAAATATTTCTGAAATATTAAATAGTTGATGTAAAGCTAAATGTGCAATATGATAATAAACTCCGGAAAGTAATTCAGTAGCATTATAGAAAACTTCTAGAAATTTAAAAAAATACTCACCAATCTGCTAATCTGTATCGAAAATTTAAATTTGATCATTCTTACTTTTTACATACATTGTGATGAGCTGTGAATACGGGAGTGCAGCCTTCAACATTAAATAGGTGGAATTCCACCTATGTCTCACGTCAGTTCGGAACTTTCTTAGGCACATCTGAGTGTTCCTGCAATATTATTTAAATTCTTAGAGTTGAGCTCTAGAACTAGATATGAAGGATAAAGATTCTCTAATATTTGTTAGATTAGCTGAAATATGTTCAATTCATGCCTGAACTACTAAATTGATTATGTGACACGCACACCGTTGATGAAAAATTTCTCCCCCAAACGCTGGTTTCAAATTACGTTTAAACATTCTAATTGTTGTCATGTTAGCTGACGCATTATCAAAAGTAATAGTTAAAACTTTATCTTCTATCCCATAAAATCCAAAAATTTCCATTATTGTACCAAAAATAACTGATGCGATATAAGGATATAAACATAAATGAAAGCATAGTATTCTCTTCTATAAAACCCATTCATCATTAAGATAATGCACCATGGAGCATAAATATCCAGTTTTATTGCACCCCTCTTATAGATCAGAAGTACAAGATATAGTAGCATTAAAAGTTCTAAAATGATTGTCACATTGCATAAAACACTTTCATGCAATCAGAACGAGTTGTGTTGCTACTTAATCATTTAAATTATGGGCAGAAGACCGTCTGTATGAATTCTTCGAACGACGCATAGAAAGAGGTAATTCGGCACTAGTTAGAAATTTAGCTAGTGCCTCACGAGCACATTGTGCATCGTATGTAAAATTTTACAACCCTTGTGATGTGAGTGATAGTGTTTGTTGGTGGGAGTCCACACTCCCACCTTGGTGCAACGGTAGATATGCTTTCTAATGTCTATCCAGATGACTAGTAGCCCCACCTTTTTTATTAGAAAAGCATTTTTTACAATACTTACATACCGCACGAATTTTCATTTCACCTGTTTTTAGATTTGGTCGGACCTTCTCTGTGAAATACTGCCATGCAAAATAAGTTTGCGGTCTTTTTCCCTTACGACGTTCTCCAACTTCCTCGGTGTGCACTGAAGTATTATCAACCGAAGCATTTTCTGCTTCCGTAGGGGGGGGGGGGGGGGGGGGGTGGGAGGCATCATTTCATCCTCAAAAAATGACTAATCACCAAGCTCGGGAAGAGCAGTGAAATCGGGAAAGTCTGATGCGACCATTTTTAGGAAATTAATTGAACTTAAACTTTGTAATTGAAAGAGCAAGAAAATGAGTGATCACGAGAAAAAAGATTACAATCAAAATCAAAGAGACATGAAGAGAGATAGAATGCGAGTGACATGAGAAGTTGAGAGTGAATTATTGTGTGAGATTTAGGGTGGGATTAAGGGGTATTTATAGAGAATTTTGGGGGTTTTTTCGGATTGTGACCATTAGGCCTTTCGCGGGCCCAACGGTCGGCCCGTGACGGGCCTAACAGGAGGCCCGTCATGTGCCGATCGTTGGGCCTGTGAAGGGCCAAATGGTCACAATCTGAACGGGCTAGAGGGCTTTTCAACGGCCTGTTTCGTGGGCCTGGGCCGGGCCAAACAAGGGCCAAATTCGGGCTTTGGCGAAACTGAGCTTGGGCCGGGCCGCAGGCCTTCACGGGTCATATACGAGAGAATTATCTAAATACAACTTTCAAATCTGTTCAAAGTTTAAAATATCCTTGAATTCCTCATAGCGTCATATACTGAGGAATTCTCCAAAAGTAAAATTGAAATTCGAGAACTATAATTGGCTTTATTTCCTATTGGATACGTAGGCAACTTAAAATTTATGTGCAATTTTGAGATCAAATTAAATCCTAAAAATCCTAATAGAAGCAAAATCAAATTTTAAAGTGCTTTAATTCCTCATAAGATCATACACCGAGGAATTATCTAAACTCTTCAATTCTAAATTTCGAACTACAAGTGGCTTGATCTTTCAATGGGGTATGTAGGCAACTCGACCAAATTCACTGTGCTCAATCCTAATTTTAAATCCACCCACATTTTCTAAATTCACAAAAAATAGAATTTGAGATTTTAATTGGAATCAAAAGGCGTTCCCTTATACCCATAGATTGTATTTAAGAGGTTATTTTTATAATTTTAAATGTGTCGAGCTTAAAATAATAAATTCCTATGTTTATTCAATCTTAGTACAGGTGAAATAGTACATGTGAAATTATGTTTGTGTAAAATATTCTGAAATATTTTTTATCAACAACATGATACTTATTTTCGTTAGAAAAAAAAAAGAAAAAAAAAAAAAGAGATTGTATTGTCCAGCAAGAAGAAACAGCTGAGTCTAATTCGACCAACTCGATTTCATTGTTGACATCAACAGAGGTGGTAGCCTGAGGATGAGACTCCGTCGACGCTGCCAATCTCAAATCAGTGAGATAATACAAGATCAAGCAAAATATAAAATTACCTGCACTCTGCCCTGTCATTACCCAACAATACTTATCGAAACGGCTATCGTTTAGGTGGTCTTCGAACCAGCTAGTATCGTCTCCCCAAGCACTGATGTGACGAGCTAAATAAACCGACAAGATACTGCCAATGGTTCCAAATCCGTAAAAACCGTAAGCAAAACGCTGGTTGCAAGAGTTAGGGGCCGGATCACTGAAGAATAGATCAATGCTTTCCTCTACAATTCCATCAAGCCCCCCAAGGAGTAGGTATTGTGGAACCAACGAAAACATAGTCAACGGAACTGTGTTATAGGTGACGTATAACATATGTTTCTCGACTTCATCTAGTCTACGAGCCTCCATTGTAGCGGCAGTAATACATCATAGTGCAGCAAAAATTGTTGATATTAAAATCCCATGAAAGCCTGCAGACTTTGATCTCGCGTTGCCATAAAATTTATCTGCTATTTTCGAATAAGATTTGGCGATAACCGCTTTTGCAAGTAGACAAAACAGTTGAAGGATTTGGAGAGGAACGTCCCAGTTGCCAATCATGGGATTCATTGTTTCTGCTTGTTGAATGAAGTAAGTGTCTCCAAGAGAAGATATGATTCCAAGCACGAAGAAGGCTATGCAAAAGGGAATTCCGCATATGGCTTTTTTGGCTTCTTCCACTTCTTCAACCGTACAATGCTTCCACCTATTTATTTCTAACTCCGGATTATGATTTGATAAATTATAATTTGTAGCTCTATGTAGGCACCTGCATTCATTAGTACAGTTGATTAATTAAGCGGTTAAATTTACGATTAATTATCAATAAAATTGTGCTGGTGCTTGAACAAATTGTGAACAAAATTTTTGTAATAATCTTCACGTATGGTTGTGATTGAGAGAGAAATAGAGCACAAGTTACCTGAGGTGAGAACTACGAACAATTGATCTATCATCTTCTCTCGCATTCGGCTCAGCAGAGTTTGTTAAGTTTTTATCGAATGTTCCTAAAAAAGAAGCAACAAGGACCCTCAACACAGTAATTACGGGTCTTTCTTTGGGTCTTTCTGTGGAAGCATGCGATGACCTAAAGCGGCCTCTCCAGAAGATAATTGTTGCTACCAGCATACATATTGCCGGTATTCCAAATCTAAGCGGCCATGAATTTATGTAAGGAATTGCGAGAGCTCCAACCAAATGAATAATGATCGTGAAGACAACTTTTAAGGTCTTCGACAATCTCGATAATTGTTTTCCCTCTTCATCGATTAAATCCTTTAACCATGTTAACCGAACCAGAGAAGCTCCAAGAACTAAAAACACAAATGATGTGGAAAACAGGATTTTTCGCATTATGCTACTATGGCACACGGCCGTCTGACCATCCCCACTTTTGCAGACTCCTATTGTTGATATTGCCAAAATAGCTAACCCCTGATGAGCCATATAATCGTAGAAAAAGTTAGATATTTATGTAACAAATATTCGATGATCAATGTTTGGAATAAATGATGATGAATTTAGGAATCAAACTGGGAAGGTGGACTTACAGTAGCATAGGTAGAACTAGTGAGTAAAACCATCCAATAGTAACCCATATTGAAAGTATCGGCTATATAGTGGATGACTAAAGGCGATATAGCCCTGAGGCCGCAAAACACATTTACAATTAGAGAAGCAGTTATAAAATTGAGTCCCCACACATCTGTTAAGAATGTCACCAGCAACCACAAGACATATAAAGCAAGCGTATCCGCCCATATCAAACCTACAATTTAGAAAGTTCAGATCATATTTAAATTGACAGTTCAAATTTTAGTGCTAAAAACTCGACATTTTATTATAAATGTAACGTTCTTGAAATTTTAGTTAAAATACATTATTTACTGCAAAATTTGTAATTTTTATCTTAAAGTTGGAATATTAGGTATAGATCAAAGAATACAACATGAATCTCTTATTTTCATAAACGACACATAATCTGAATTCAAAGAACGTCAAGCTTTCAATTAATAGCAATCAACAGCTTCACGTCATGACAAAAAAAAAAAAGTGTCAAACCTAAAGTTTAGGAGCACAAGAGCTACAAAAGCTTTAGGTTGATGAAGGTGCCGAACCGCAAAAAAGTACAGGGAACACAAAGTACTAAAGCCCAAAACTCTAAGGGCCCGTTGTGAATGAAAACTGAATTTATGTGAAAGAAAAAACTAAATAAAATATTTAAGTTGTGATTCAAATTGTAAAAAGAACGGGACTAAGATAGTTTTGTATTGTTTTCAATTCACTTACCTTTGAGTTTCCAAAAGGAATATATCATGATTGCAATGTGTTACTAAGTCTCCCACGTGTTTTTGAACAAAAACAAAAGAAGCTGTCATAATTCAAAAAGTTAAACATTTGAGTATTAGAATCATGAAGACCAAAATGTATTAATACAAGTGTAGAAGTTTGAACTTAGGGTACGTTTAGAAGGTGTGGTTTGAAACAAAATTTAAATTTTGTAAGAGAAAACGTCACTGTTGTAGAAATTTATTTTAAATTTAAATTTTTGTGAGAGAAAATACTTTAATAGATTTAAAGCCAAGATTCCAACCAATTTTCCAAACTTGAAAATCCAGCTCCTTAGTTTGTTGCCATGTTATAAATTTATTATTTCCACTTGACACCTATCGTAATTATAAACGGCTCATATCGCCATGACCTTCTCTTGAATTCTCAAAATTTCTGCCATCGTACCCCTATAGGGGCAGACAACCCATCACTGTCTTGGCTGTGCTATCAGAGGCTCTGGGGAAGTCAAAATAGAAGAGCACTCATCTTGGGGTAGGGATTTAGGGTTATTAATAATCCTCCAACTTGTCTTAGCCAGGAGGGCTTGGTTAAAGGCTATAACATCTCTAAACCTCATTCCACCTTCACACTTTGGCTTACATAACTTCTCCCATCTCATCCAATGAATCTTCCTCTCGTAGCTTGTGCAACCGCCTTCATAAGCACCTCTCGTCCTGCCATTGAAAAAAATCTCCCCTTCCACAGTTTGAGCTTACAGAGAACATTGTCCTTAACCGCATTAAAAGTGGCCCTCTTATTACGCCCTACAAAGGAAGGTAACCCAAGGTACTTATCGTGGGATAAGCCATGGTCTCCCAAACAAAAAGGTCCCTGGATGACTGCACAATCCTCCATCGACACATTTGGGCTAAATGTAATTTTCGACTTATCAAAATGTGTCACCTGTCCTGAAGCTTTTTGCATATAAATCCAACACCTCTAAAATAGCAGCACTTTCCTCATTATTGGCTTTACTGAAAATAATAGTCATCCGAAAAGAAAAGATGACTTGCTCGAGGTGTATGACGAGCCATGACAATTCTTGAAATACATCTTCTTTCCTCTGCCATCCAAATGAGAGCTGATAAGCCTTCTGCACACGAGAGAAAGAGATATGGAAAGATTGGGCATCCTTGACGTAAGCCCCGGTCCGGACACACTCGACCTCGTGCCTCACCCCCTATAATGAAGGAGAATTGAGACGTAGTCACACATTCCATAACAAGCCTAGCAAACATCCTTTCCAAAAATGGTCACTCAATTCTATCATAAGCCATACTCATATCTAATTGGAGACACATTAAGCCCTCCCTACCACCAATCTTCCTCCGAATTGAATGAATTACTTCAAACGCCACAAGGATGTTATCCGTAATCAATCGACCCAGGACAAAGGCACTCTGTTACGGGGCTATGGGCGAAGGAAGCACTCTCTTCATTCTATTTGCAAGAACTTTTGAGATAATTGTGTAAGTGACATTGCATAAACTAATCGGGCAGAAATTTGAGACCCTCCTTGGATCCTTGATTTTTAGAATAAGGACCACATTCATTCTATTGAGCTCACGCTCCAATTCATCACCATTAAGAGCCAGCAAGCACATAGTAGTTAAATCTTCCCCAATCACAGCCCAATTTTTCTGATAAAAGCTAGCATGAAAGCCATCCGGCCTCTGTGCCTTATTGGGACCCATACTAAAAAGAGCTCCACGGAACTCACTAGGTGAAAAAGGTTCCTCCAACATACTCCGCAGCTCTTCTGAAAGCCTAGATGTAACAGCTTGTGAAACTGCCGTAAGATCACGATCACTAGGCGTGATAAAAGAAAAAAACTCGACTTATCAAAATGTGTCACCTGTCCTGAAGCTTTTTGCATATAAATCAAACACCTCTAAAATAGCAACACTTTCCTCATTATTGGCTTTACTGAAAATAATAGTCATCCGCAAAGAAAAGATGACTTACTCGAGGTGTATGATGAGCCATGACAATTCTTGAAATACATCTTCTTTCCTCTGCCATCCAAATGAGAGCTGATAAGCCTTCTGCACACGAGAGAAAGAGATATGGAAAGATTGGGCATCCTTGACGTAAGCCCCGGTCCGGACACACTCGACCTCGTGCCTCACCCCCTATAATGAAGGAGAATTGAGACGTAGTCACACATTCCATAACAAGCCTAGCAAACATCCTTTCCAAAAATGGTCACTCAATTCTATCATAAGCCATACTCATATCTAATTGGAGACACATTAAGCCCTCCCTACCACCAATCTTCCTCCGAATTGAATGAATTACTTCAAACGCCACAAGGATGTTATCCGTAATCAATCGACCCAGGACAAAGGCACTCTGTTACGGGGCTATGGGCGAAGGAAGCACTCTCTTCATTCTATTTGCAAGAACTTTTGAGATAATTGTGTAAGTGACATTGCATAAACTAATCGGGCAGAAATTTGAGACCCTCCTTGGATCCTTGATTTTTAGAATAAGGACCACATTCATTCTATTGAGCTCACGCTCCAATTCATCACCATTAAGAGCCAGCAAGCACATAGTAGTTAAATCTTCCCCAATCACAGCCCAATTTTTCTGATAAAAGCTAGCATGAAAGCCATCCGGCCTCTGTGCCTTATTAGGACCCATACTAAAAAGAGCTCCACGGAACTCACTAGGTGAAAAAGGTTCCTCCAACATACTCCGCAGCTCTTCTGAAACCCTAGATGTAACAGCTTGTGAAACTGCCGTAAGATCACGATCACTAGGCGTGATAAAAGAAAAAAATATTACTGAAATAGCTTTCCACTTCCACCACAATATCATCATCCACGGTAACCCATCTCCCATCAACAATCTCAAGGCCCCGGTAAAGAATTTCGTCTTCTTCTTTTAGAAGCTTGCTAGTGAAAATATTTCGTATTCTTATCTCCCCCCTTAAGCCATTCCATTCTACATCTATGTCTCCAGTAATATTCTTCTAGCTCCAATAATTTATCCTGCTTCCTTATGAGACCTTTCAGGCTTCGTCTACTAGCCCCTAGCGGTGCTGCATTCTGTTTCTTCTCAATCTTAACACGAATATCACGAACTCGCTTCGGATGTTACCCAAATGGTGTGACTTGTGTTGTAAACATCTTATTGCCAACTTTGTAGATACTGATAACAATTATTACAATAAAAGTTTTTATGTTTTAATTTGAATGTTTCTATTTGGATGTAAGATGTTGCTCGGCATTACTATCTATTTGAATGAATTTAAAAGGATATTAACATAATAAAAGTAGATAGGAAGTTAGTATGTATTACTTTTACTATTGGTAAAATATTCAGTAATAATTTTTAAAAGCTACAAGAGTATGACATAACAAGGGAGAAAAGCTATTGATCTGTATCATAACAACGCCAAATAGTTGTAACAGGCTTAAAATAACATGTTTAAAACGTTATAAGACCCTAATTCTATAGCGTTTCTCATATCGTTCTTAGAACGCTATGTTTTCGTAGGACTTTTAATAGCGTCTGATGTCCTAAAGCTCCACAAAACGCTATTGGTAGTGCTTAATAGCGTTTTTGGTTAGCTATTGATAATGATATTTGTTGTAGTGCCGGTTTTGTAAGGGAAAAATGCGATCAACATGTGTCATTTTCCATGTAAAGACCAGAGAGCACTCAGCCAAAGAGAGAGAAATTTTTTTTTTCAAAGTGAGAAAAACGAGTTCAAATCAAAATCAGCGGAAAACCACCGTTGATTAGCGTCACTGGAGTTTTCTCTTCATTCTTCTAAGACCAAACACACCAGGGCAAGAGACCGAAGAAGGAAAGAGGAGCAGGGGCAAAACCGCGAAAGCAGCGCGCAAGTGGCAAATAGACGAAACAACCCCCTAGCAAAGTGAAGGAAAATGAAGGGGAAAAGGGCAAAATCGTCACTTCACTGTAGAAGGAACAAGAAAATGGGTCTGTGTGAACAGTACCCCTGAGCTCTCCTTTAGATTATTTATAATTTCCTTTTAACTGCCTAGTTTCACATTTTATTTTTTTATTCTTTTTTTTTTGGCTTTTGCTTTACTTTACTTTATAAAAAAAAATCTGAATGAATAATTGTAATTTTTTTTAGGGAATAGCTAATTATTAAAAAAAATCTAATCTATAATACGAAAACTGAAGGAATAATTTTAATTTTTTTAGGAAAATTGGATAAATTTGTTGAAAGACAAAATTATCAACGTTTTCCACACGCCGATGCAAAATAGGAAAAAATGTGTGTAGCTTCTTGTCGTAGGGAATTTTCTTTTTTTCTTTTTCAGTTGTTCTTGCGGAATTTTCTAAATGCTGAAACTTTGACACTATTTTCTCATCACGTTGTTCATTTCTAGTTTGCGACCTGGATCTCTCTGATCTCCATTGGGGCTCATCAAGATTTGAAGTCTTTCAAAAGGTACTTGTGTCATTTCCCAATTTTTTTTTTTGGTTTCACAGGAATATTATTGAGCAGAATCACCCCCAAATGATGCCTTGTATTACTTATATTAGCCTTTTCTATTGATTACTTGTATTTACTCGTATTTATTAAAAAAAAAAAAAAACCCCCCTTTGTTTTGATGAGTATAGTAATTTTTTTTTCTTTTTTTAAAAAAATTTGGTAGTGTTGGCCATATCCTTAATAGTAATCTTTTTTTTAATGTTACCATACTATTTCTTCTTGAATTTTGCCCCCACTAAACATTTAGATTTCTTTTTTCTTTTCTTAAGATCCTTGTTAAGGTCAAATTTCGTTCCTAATTTCTCATGGTACACATGTCATCATACATCTCGGAAAATTGGATCAAATTATGAAATCCCCAGTCAAAACAGGCCTTGAGCATTTGGCTGCTCGCAGGGGCTCAGCACTGCGGAACGACCAGTCCAGCAGCTCGCTAGACGAGTAGTCAAATGGACATGCCAGCTCAGCATCCGATAATTAAGTACGAAGATCTAATCTCCAGCATGCATATTCGGCATTAAACTAAGGCATCACGTCCAGAAAAGCAAAGGAGAAAGTTAATCATCCCACATGCTTGCCCCCTAAGCATCATCCCTATAAGAAAAGATTTCCTAGAGGATCATAAACTAAAAGGTCAAAGAGCCTATAAATGCATACTATAGGCATCCAAGACAAGGGTTCACGCATTCTTACACACGTTTCATCACTACAAGCATATTTTCTCTCTTTTTACACACTTTTCAGAATTTTTCTCACATTGTTCTCTTTGTATCCATGGAGAACATCATTGTAATCATCTTCTTCAATCATAATGAAGCTACCGAAGACCCTACAGTGGACGTACCCTGGATTTTTAGGAGAACCATTATAAAATCTCTGTGTTCCTACTTCTTTTATTTTTCTGTTGATTTATTTCGTTGGTTAAGCGATACTGACGTCATCTTCTGAATTCACTCATTGACCCTCTAACAAATTTAATTGTAGATTTCACCCTCTACAGTTTGGTGCCCACCATGGGGCCCTTGATTGAAAGATTCAGAGACTATTTCATCCGTAGGAATGACAAACGACAACAACAACAGAACTGGCACTGACAGCGAAGCCACTATTAATCAACAAGGCGACCAGTAGTCGGATGGTCAACAATCAGGTGGCCAATGGCTGAACCAGCAATAGACCATTGACCAGCAGCTCGCTAAAATGAGGCGTAAATAGGAGGAAAGCGATCGCCAAATTGCTGAATTGATTGCAGAAAATGAAGAATGAAGGAGACGATTTGCCACCATGTCGTTGTTCAACACGCTACCTCAATCGGTTGCAATCACCACCGGTGGCTCGTCTCAACCCGCTAACTCATCATTTTCACAGATGGATTTCAGCTAACTATGACTCTTTGAAGGACTTTTTCGTTAAAAACCAAAACTGTTTTCATTTTGTCTAGTTAAAACTATACAATTTTGTTTTACTGTATCCTAGAGTCGGATTTTAAAAATCTGTTCTTCACAAGAAGTATTTGTCTCATCGAGATCTAAACCTTTCATGTTATGAGAAAACTACAATTCAGCTCCTAAAGAGTCCATGTGGTTCCAAACAGTGGCTACCCAATTTTGAAACAGTTTTTTTGGACAGCTTTGTAGTGTTTTGAAAAACAACTTAAAAATTTAAAACTAAAACACACTTCGAACATTCAAGAATCATGATATATCTTAAATTTTCATGCCATAGTCCTGAAAGTTAGCATTTTAAGAGAAAAATCAAAACTTTGAGTTACCAAATTATAACCAATTGCTTAAACCTAACCAAGTTCCCTATAATCTAAATTTTCATCATGAAAATGAAATCAATCCTACGCTAATCATGCTATTTCTAGCACACACACATAGGTCTTAGAAACCACACAAAAGTTCCATCTTTTCCTACTTAAGATACAAAAACTCAAAACAAAATTTTATAAAGTTTTGAACTTTGTACCTAGAGGAGTCCAAAGGTGTGCCTTCCTTTTCTTGGTTTCTTTGGTGCCTCTTAAATTCTCTTGAAAAGCTTAGACTTCCTCTAAGAAAAGAATTAAGGTTAGAACTTGAACTAAAATCATCAACTTGGAAAGAAAACCGTTAAAAGGAAAATACTTTCTCACCTTGATCAAAGCTTTTAGAGTACCTAGCCTTTGATCTAAGCTTTCTATTTTCCTTTTTTTTTTTTTATGAGTCTGTAACTTAAAGAAAGTAGAATCAGCCACAACTAAATGAGAGGATGAGATATTGTATCCTTAGGAAAGCTTATGAGAAGGACAAAGAAAATTGAGTAAATAACTTCTAACTTTGGATAAATATAGACAACCAACTCAAGGACCACTTAGTGCTCCTTTTTTTTTTTTTTTTTTTTTTTTTTTTTTTTTGGAAGAGGATACTCGGCAGTTTAGGGAAATAGGAGGATAAATCTCCTTTGTGTGTTTAGTTGATAACATGATGCACATGGGTAAAGAACGGTGGGTAATTTTTTCCGGTCATTACATTAACTCTTCATATTAAATTCCTAGAATTAGTAAGGCCTCGTTCACTTCGCGGATTCGAGTTTTCAATTCGAGCTGAGATGCGACATTTTCTTAGAGCTTTTTACTGTAAAAACCTAAAACTGAAAACTCGAATCGGTAAAATGAACGAGACCGAAGCCTCCAATATTCTTCAAGTCATATAAAAAAAATCTCATTTCACCACTACTCTGAGGAATGGTGTTAGATAATAGATCCTATAGCTCTGTAAAAGCTTGCCATACATTATAGTCATGAGAGAAAAAAAAGTGTTGCATGACAGCTACTGCGTCATAAATTTCTATTTCTAATGTCCCCTTCATGTTCCCTGTCGACTTCTTCGAGGCCGTCGACTTTGAAAATAGCTCCCTAATTTGTTGACTATGTTAGATGGCATTTTCTTCACCATCAAATCAATACCTCAAATAACCAGAGTTTGTTTCTTAAGAATTAAATAAAGAAATTGGAGCTTTGAATCTGGCTACAACACGTATTTCATCCAAATTAACTGAACGCTAGTAAAGTGGCCCAAACGCCAATTCCTTGCCAGAATTATGAGGTACCAGTTGTAAACAAAGTTTCTCATAGGGATCCATAAGAGAAAATTTGAAAGCAAAAAAAAAATGATAAATAAATAAATAATAGATTTTTTTTTAGTATTGCAATTAAGGAAAAAATAAAAGAGAAGAAATATAACGTTTGGGATTGCGTAGTTTGCTTTTCAGAAGTTATTTCATACGCATCCACGTTAATAATTTTTTTTGTAAAGGGATTAAACTGATGAGGGCATATAACGGACTGATACGACATGTCATTATTTAGCTTCAATCACTTTAACGGAGCAAACGTCGGTTTTCATTATTTTATTTTCTTTGAGAAAAAAAAGAAAAAGAAAAAGAAGAGCAAGCGTTTTGCTGTATCTTCGAGGTTCAGATGGGCAAAAACACTTCCAGTTTACTCTCAAAGGCATTCAACTCTGAAGACAAAAACTCTTACTTCCCCATCTAATTTGGAATCTATACCATCTTGTTAGTATTCCCTTTCAAGTATAGAAAAATTGGGGCCGTAATTTGTTGAAACTCATGTGCAACAATAGAAGTTGTAATGTTTTGAATCTCTAAAAAATATAAATTGTGTTTAGAATTAATCTCATTTTTATTTTTCACGTTTTTTAAAAATAAAACAATAAAAACGTTTTTAAAACAATATATCAGGAATAAGGTAAAGAAGGAATCTCAAATTTTCGTTTTTTCAAGCGTATAATGTGGTTGTGTATTACTTGTTAAAATTTGATGTAGAAGCATAAACAGTAAAACTTTATTTGCTGCTGTGCTTGTTTTACTTTCTTTTCTGGTAAACTGTTTTTAATTATGTCGTTTCGCTTGTTTGAGACTCTATTGTGTCCTTTTTTAATTGCGCTTATGCCGCACATCGCTCTGGTCTTCAATAACCAAAGAGTTTGAGCTTGTCGTTTGGCTGAGCTTAGTGCTCCATTATCAGTGTAACTCTTCTTGATTCTGTTTAGATCTAGAAAGATTGTATTTGAGCTTTCTAATTGGTCATATCATTATAACAACTGAAATCTGTTTTGGATTAAAAAAAAATTCAATTTAATTCGGGGTTGTGAAACAATAAAATAAAGTATTAGAACAAATGGATGCTAAGCCCCTCTGGAGATAAAAAAAAAAAGCGTGTGTTCAGATTGCAGAAGTAAGGAAAAGGGATCAGCAAAAAGAGAGAGAGAGAAAGAAAGAAGGAGTAAAAACTAAAAAATAAGAATAAAAAAAGAGAGCAAGGGTACGGTTTCATCATCGAGAAAGGTATTCTTCTTCTTCTATTTTTTTTTTTTCGCTAATACTTTCTGTAGAAATTCTATTCTCTAACACTATTCGTAGAAGAAAATTTTGGTTAGTAAACCCCCCGAGTGCTGTTTCAAATATTTATTTATTTATTTATTTTTTTTTTTTGTGGCGAGTTCTATACCAATCGGTTAACAATTTCCTCAGAGAAAAAAATGTATCAAATTTGGTATCTATACCATCTAGTTAGTATTCTCTTTCATGCACAGAAAAATTAGGGTTGTAATTTGTTGAATCTCAAGTGCAAAAATAAGGTTGTAATGTTTTGAACCTTTCAAAAAATATAGTGTTGTAATTTTTGATCTCTTTATGCACAGAAAAATCCTAAGTGCAACAATAGTGGTTGTAATATTTTGAACCTCTAAAAAATATAGAGTTGTACGGAATTAATGGAATAGATTTTCTTCACTTATCATGGATCAACAAGTCTCAAATTTTAATCTTAGAACAGACTCAAATACAATTTCGAGTAGAAAAACATCAAAATTTCAACTTAAAAAAAAATTCAAAATGAAATTCACGAGGACTATGAAAAAAATCAACTTCTAAAAAGTCCTATCCAAATACAAATCTCAATTCCAAATTTGAACTAAAAATGACTTGATCCCTCCATGGGGTATGTAGGTAACTCTGCCAAATTCACCGAGCTCAATCATAATTTTAAATCCACCTAAATTTTCCAAATTCACAAAAAAATAGAATTTGCCATTTTAGTTGGAATCAAAAGATAGTCCCTTGTACCAATGAATTATAATTAAGAGGTTATTTTTATAATCTTAAATGGGTTGAACTTAAAATAGTAAATTCATATGTTTATTCAATCCTAGCATAAGTGAAATTATATTGTGTGTAAAATATTATTAAATATTTTGCTCAACAATGGTCTTACAAGAAACATCTTCTAATATTTTGCCAGTTGGCTTGCGTTTTGGGCAAGCACATTAAATGACAGTTTCTTATAAAACTACTGTCTAATTAGAGACGTTAAATGTCAATTTTTTTTTTGTGGTGACTATTCTAATAGTAGAAGTCATCGTTATATCCTTACGAGGAAAACTATTCCTAAGATGCCGTCATAGTCGGATTGATCTAGAATGACTTGATATACACATATTTTCCTACTCAAGAATAACTATATAGGTGCTTGTCTAGTCAAGAATTGGGCTTCAATAATTTCCTAAGGAGTGAAACATACTACACTTATAAGTACTCATCACTTACTCTTAATATTATCCTTACTCTGATAAGATTGTCGTTGCCTATTGGTTCGAACCTCAAAAACCAAGGAATCTCATCTTATAGGCTGACAATGGGTTCAAAATAAGAAAATTGTAGAAAATAGGCATACATTTAAAGCTTATAAAAGTGAAGTTCCTTGCAATTTTTTTATTGCACGTCTTAAATTTAGGTTTATCCAAGTTTACTAAGTTAGAATCACTTGAAAAAAGAACAGCACAAATTTTAATAGTAAATTCTGGATATACTTGGTAAGTCCTAGATGTACCAAGTTAGCATCACTTTTAATAGTTGTTAGATTAGATGTATATGTAATGATTTAAGAATAAAGATACTTTGCTTAAATGGTTAGTATGAGATATAAAGGCAAATGTTTTTTTTTTTTTAAATAATGACTGAAATTTGTAAAATTAAGAAAAACAATTTAATTTTTTTATTAATTTAGTGGTCAATCGCTGATTGACTTAATTTATTATTGATTAACTATAATTTATTATTTATTAATATGAAATGATTCTTCATTGTTAATCAATTTTAATTAACAATTACATGTTCATTAATGATAGATCAATAATAAATTAACAATGAATCAAATCAACAAATTGCAGTTTTATCAATGATAAATTATTAGTAAATTAATAATAAATCAATCAATCATTAATTGACTACTATAAAAAAATAGTTACAAACTAATGACTAACTTATAAAAGAAAACTCTAGAAAATTCCAAGGAAACAACAAGTACTAATGGAATAACTATTGCAAGAACAAAAGGAAAAGAAAAAAGCAAAAGCCGATTATTCCAGATTTCATTTCAATTCGTAGTACCTTATATACAAAGACTCAAGACAAATTTTTATAAAAGAAACGAAAAATTTGTAAGGGACCTTTTTTGATACGCCAATATATTGATAGGATAAGTTTTTTTGTCCGTTAGATATGCATAAAATCACATAAAAATAAAAAAAAAATACATAGATTTAACAGTTAAAAAAAATTTGATTTATCAGTATATCAAGTGAATGAGAGAATCACAGAAAAAAAACTACAGAGCAAAAGCAAAATGTGAAAGAGTCCACCAGTTAAAGTATTTTCCGCTCCTTTTAAAGTTTTATAATATAATTAGAAAAATTTAGACTAATCACTATATAATAAAATATCGCCTTGTATTTTTATTGTCTAAACCGCACTGTTTTGGTGCGGTTTAGGTTTTTTTTTTCTTCTTTTTTTTTATTTGCTTTTCTTTTCTTTTATTGAATTTAGTACTCTTTTTTTTTGGTTTTTTCTTCTACTTTTCTTTACTTTATTGTTCTTATCTTTTTTTTCTTCAGTTATTTACTATAGTCTCTTACCCTTAATCCAATTAGATCATTACTTCTTTTTAACTCCAATAGTTTCATATTTT